TTGGATTTCCGTGATAGTTCGCTGACCAAAAGTGACTTTCTCACGTTCCCAAATAGGCTTCCAGGGTTATTCCTCTCACTTCAAGGCCAAATTCCAACAGATAACAACAGGTTGCATCCAATATTCATCCTTCTGCTACTTGGTAGTCCCGTGAGCAAATTCCTGCCAAAATCTGCTATTCATATATTTATATAATTATTTATTGCTAAGCCCCGGGCCTAGGCCCAAGCCCGACCCGACCCGGCCTCAAGCCCGATGGTTGGGTCGGGCCTGAGATTTTCCCGACCCAAGCCCGCCCAAGCCCGGCCCAAGCCCCGGGCTTTCAGGCCCGGCCCGACCCGGAAAACACTACTTGTCAACAAGCTCGCAAGGTCATATTGCGGAAAAACTCCTTGCGGAACCTCATAGAAAATGCAGCGCAAGACCTCAGAGGTTCCCTAAAGAAAGAAGGACAGCATGCACAATTTATGATGGCCTTGCTGTCCTAAGAATCAGTGATCGAGATTAATTTTTTGCTACTAGCCGGAATCGAACCGACGACCTTGCGAGAATTTCGTCTCTGTTTGCGAGCTTGCCGTTTTCGGCCTTTTTCGACCTTGTACACAGGTTCCTACCCAGTGGTGGTGGGCAATCCCGATTGTTCCGCCGTGACGATCACGTGAGGCGTCAATTGAGACCCGATCAATTTTCGCTGACCCACAACCGTTTCGAGTTGTTTTGACCCGAGTTCTGCATATTTTCTCAACTTTAAGTACTCAAAATGTAGATATTATGTATCATGATCCCCTGCCTTGATCCCAGATATTTCCCTTCTAAATTGAAACTGCTGGAGCGTGCCGAGTGGAGAGCTGCTGTACACAGAGTCGATTGCCAAGAAACTAAACAATCGAAACTGAGCCCCGAAAAAATTTGAGAGGCACTTGGGGGACCCTATCATGATATCCTTACTATGCACAGACCATTTGAGTGTCTCTGGTCCATAAACAGTGTGTTGGATCGTTAAATCACTATTCTGATGGTAAGCTTAAATAGGCATAAGTTTCATGACTTCCGATCCGCGAACACATTTGGTGCGTTCCACACTCAAATTCTGATGAGACTTCCATGGTGAAAAATGTTGACAGGATGCATAACTGTGTTTTGTTCGGGGGAATTCTTAAAATATGACGATTGGCCTCGAAAAGACACACTTTGATAGATACTTTCCGGAAATTTTAATCAATTTTCAAGATTGAAACAATTCCCCCGAACATAACACAGATAATGGCCTCATGAGCATTTCTTCTCTTTGGCATATATACATATCGTGTATGTGCAAGCCAGAAAATGTGTTACCGCGGTTGGGTCAGTAAAAGTGGCCGGTGTTCCGGTGACTAAAGCGTGGGAAATAATTGATCGCTCGGGGAATTGCCCACCACCATACCCAGCCGTGTTCCGAGGTTCATCAATCTCTGTAGCGTAGTTTTTATTCTAAATCTCAGAAAATGGGGATGCGGAAATTTCGGACCGTATGTGATGTGACGAATGATGTGACCTAAGTTGGGGATGAACCTCTCCACAACGGCTGGCACAAAACATCTGTCAACAACATAGCCACAATTTCAAGAAATCCCAAGGAAATTCAGTGGACGCCTGCCTCATGACAAATTAAAATGTTCATGAGGCTCTATCCTCTACATGTATTATAGAGAACCATCATAGGGCAGGTTTTTAAGGAACTAATGCTGTGTTCGAGCACACACCGTGAAAACAGCCCACCTGGAAGGTATTTGGTACATCGACTCTTTTCCGGTCACTATTCGGACCTGTTAATTTTTGAGGTATCGTAGATGGATTGTTTGAAGACCCTAGAGGGAAAAAATAATTTTAATTTGGCATGAGGCAGGCATCCACTGAATTTCTTTGGAATTTCGTGAAATTGTGGCTATGTTGTTGACGGATGTTTTGTGCCAGCCGTTGTGGAGAGGTTCCTCCCCCAAGTTGCGTAAGAGAGTTTGACAAATCACATTCTGTCCGAATTTTCCCGAGCCACCATTCGCAGAATCCAATTGCTAACATACTACTAGGACTGAGGAACCTCGAAACACGGCTGGGTAGGAACCTGCCTTGTACAAGGTCACAAGCAAAATGTCAAAAGTCTGATGCAGTCCCTCAGCCTTGGTGAAGACATCCGCCGGTTATTCCTGCCGTCCCACAGGCGTCAGGAATTTCGCCCGTCCCATGATGAAAAAAATGTCTCACTCACTTCACTCATGGAACGTCAGCCTATGGAGTTCATAGAAATCGCACAGCGGTGCAGCTGCGTGACTGTGACATTTTCATTTCCCACCCGGCAATTCGGCATCGGAATTTAAGATGCTGTATTGTGATGCAGATGCATTGGGTTCGGAGAGGCATAGTGTTAGTCTCTCTAGACAGACTCTGTAATGAAAACAGGCTCGTTCCTCGCCCGCATAGTGTGGGCGGCAAGCATGAATTAACATAAAACATCATTGAAAGGAGGCACAAGAGGACAGCAGACGCGAGAGGAAAGCCCAAGACAAACCCCAGAAAGATGTCAACAGCGATCAGGGAAATATTGAGATGGTAGACACGGTCCGAGCACGAAGCTTTGTGAAGTTCTTGATAGGTTTTGCTTGACAGTACAATGGCTTGAAGGCTTGCGTGTTGGGACTTGCTCAACAGTGGTTGTGCTTGAGGGAAACGGAGATAGACACGGTGATGGACTAGCACAATGAATTGAGTACCGATGGTTCAGAGTTGCTCAATGGTTGCCGAGAATCTCACCCCATGCTTCACTGACGAGAACACCTTCTCTCGGGGCACCGATTGGCGTGTGCACAAAGACGACGGTCATGCCGAGAAGCTGAGGGCAAGGCCACCGACGAAGGACTACGCGACCTCAATACACCCGACGTATTCAGGACCCAGGAGGCACCCGCCCCCCGCGTGGAAGTGGGCTCTGGGGTGCAGCTCACGATAGAGCGCAATGTGCATGGGGAAGAGTGTTCTCAGGAGGGTGAGTTGTTCATAACTTTGCCACATACTTTCCCTCCCATTCTTCTCTTCGGATTTTCTAGCTTCCCGTCCATTGTTGTTTGCTAATTGCTATCCCAGTACCTTGTTTCAACTTGCTTGCCACTAATGCTTTCTGCGTGCCCGCGTGCTTTATCATATCGCTAGTGTGTGTCTTTTTCCTCATTATTTCTTTTCTGCATTGTGCTAATTCAATCCCAGCACCTGCTCCCGGATTGCCGTCCATGTTAGCTCACTAGAGGACTGATGAGGGGAACCACCCGGTATGTCCCACGTAGTGCTCAGCAACAAGCTTACCGACTATTCTTTCCAGATCGATATTCACTGCGGACTAATTTCCAGCGCATGGGAAGCAGTGCCGCACGCAAGCCTGCGACAGTACGTACACACCGTCATTCTCCTAAACACTGCTGATTTCCCTCACAGACTGTTGACGGCCCTCTTCCTCTCCACGAGGGTTGCTCATGGAGAACGTCGGTATCTGAGTCGCATCACGACTTGCGAACTTTTATTAGGTATGTGAGCAACTAATCCTGGGCTCATTGTGCATTCTCATGGATCCACCAACGCAATGATCATGACGCAGACACCAGGCTGTTTGGAGGCACGACAACTTTAGTAATAGGTGTTCGGCCCGTTGACCGAACGCCTATTGATGGCGGGGAATGCCTCTTGATGACCGAACGCCTGTCGATCATTTTGGGCGCATCACGGAGTGATGGATTTGCCGATAGTTGCCGAATCTTGTTAAATCACCGAACTCTATTCACTGTGCATGGAGGGTTAAGTTTGGGGTTAGAAAGGTTAGGTATGGTTAATTTTGGTGTTCTGGTTAGGTTCCCAGGTATATTGAAAAAATTGTTGAAGAAAGGACCTGTGTGTTTTGCTCGCATGCCGCCATTTGATGGTATGATGGGTGATCCAAGGCGGTAGGCATTTACGCGATAAGTAGGGCGTCCGGTCGACGGGATGAATGCCTATGCTACCAAAGTTGTATGTACTCTTTGTTTGGTACAGGGAATGGTGAAGGTTCGGTCTGGAAGTAGGTAGTAGTTTACGGGACCTGTTTACATAGTTAGGACTCAACAAATCCACTCGTGAAGTCAGCCTTTCGCCAACTTCATCCGGCGGTGATAACTTACCTCTTGGGCCCGGTTCGCTAACTTCTTTGACTTGTTGGATTTCAGTCCCCATTGCAATAAGTCCCCCATTGCAATATATTGATTTATTTTCTTCTTTCTACCCTAGTGCCGAGGCAAAGCGGAGGCATATCTTGTAGGCTATGGGATTATATTTGGATGACCCATCGTTGAGCACTTTGGTAAGTCGATTTATACCCGTCTCTGCGTATCACGCAGAAGACCGCCGTTCGACTCGGGGTCGGGCCATGCTCGCTGATGCGTATGGTATAGTTTTAAGGCCCCCCGCCCCCGGTTGGTTCAATTTCGATTATTATTTTTCATCCAAAGGAAAGCATTTCTCACTCTCTGCCTCTTATATTTATCAACGCTCGGCCTGCCTTATCTCCTCTTCTGTATCCATCTTATCGTATCTGAACATAGCCTATCTTATCTTATCTGTTATCTCAGCCTTTCGAGACACTCGTGCGTACAGCAAAACAGCCCCTGGGTGGCTCGAGTGGCTGTTGCACAAGGTCTCTATGTTGGAAATTGGATCCCAGAGGACATGCAGCGAGGCGCGACAAGTACAAAGACAAGATAAAAGTTGATCATGTGATACATTCGGGCCGGTAATCTAATCGCGTCTCGACTCTACCTACGACTTCCAACACGCTATTGGGACGCGGGAAGTCGACCGTACGGCGATATTTGAACGAAAACTCTTGATCAGAACCCAGAAAGCCTCGCTACACCACATCCGATCAATATGCTCGCTCTTTGGTAAGCCCTAGTCATATCGGAGGCACATAACCATAGGAAAGAGGTTTTCCAAGAATCGGGGGATTCAGACGCGGGGAATCGAACCCCGTTCGGCGAGTTATTGAACCCCTCGTCATATCCCGTACACCACGTCCGATGAATATACCTGGTTGAGTTCATACAGGAACCAGAATCAGATCGGGAGCACCGGGAGAAAACATATATATCAATAATTAGTATAGAGGATGAGACCTGCAAGTTACTTGCGTCGTGCGCTTGAATGCCACGACACAAAGACTACGATCGATTTTGCCATAGAAGGTGCCATGCACACTGAGTTCTATAATGGCCTTGATGATCAAACTCAAAACTGAAAATAGCTATGCATAATCCAACTTGGCTTTCCGACGAGCTCCCACGACGCGCGACATATCCCGGAACATATTGACAAGTAATAAATTTCCAGATCGAAACGCGATCGCGCCTCCTCCAAGACTACATCATCTGAGTGACTTTCCAATCTCCTCATCCAGGTCTTTAACACCGGCAAGAATGCGTGCATTTATTTGGGGGTCACGGGGATCTGAACTAGGTCCAATCCCGTCTGCCATTCGTCGCAACCCGTCGACTAATGCCGAGGTACCGGATCGCATCGGGATCCAACGCATTTGCTTATTCTCCCCCCACGAGGCTATCACAATTTCATGGACCTCGATGCGCCCGTCGCTGACTGCCGTCTGCCCTAAGCGGAAGTACCCATCGAACTCGTGAAACTCGTTGTATGTTGGTTTGTTGGCGGACTGAATTTTAAGAGAAGGCTCGGAGGCCTCGGGATTGTCGTCGGGTGCTCCGTGGGGAATGACTGAAATCCCACTGGCGCTGTTCGAATAATCGAAGCGCAGATGGAATTTCAGGGTTGGGGACGCGAGCATGAACAGGTCTCGGTGCTGCTGTATTTCGTACTTGCGTTCGACGTAATCGTGGTGAACTAGGGCACGGAGGAAAGCGAGCTCGCGGTTGCCGAGATTCTCTGGGTGGTCTTTATCAAGCATCAGTCACAGCACTGCCAGCCTGAGTGAAGGCTTAAGCTGACTCACCGATATACCTGCCGGAGAGGATGTTGCATGCGAGGCGGTGCGTGCCATCCCAATCAACTCTTTGGCACGCCTCGCAGCAATAGACCCGTTGCTTACAGCTGGAACACGCCTTGACCCTTTCTACGCGGTCGATCATATCGCACTGGCCGTTTACAAATGTTAGACAGAAAAATGATGAAGAGCGACATCAACGACTCACTGTCGGATTGTCACATACCCTGCAGGAGGCAAACTCGGCTGCGTTGAAGGACTCGAATAAAATGAGCCGGGACTTGGCCAATTCGACAAACGCTGTCCAGTGTGCATTCATTGGCGTCGCAGTCATTTTTGCAGAGGACACCTCTTCCAGAGCCCTGGAGATACGGCGCAGGACGTGGTAGTAGACAAGGGAGGGAGAAAGGTAGCCCGTAACGATATCTAGGGAATAGTCCTCCTCGATGGGACCGGCGCCGTAGGTCGCACATGCGACGATTGCACGTAGAATCCCTGATTGGAGGGCAATGGGCATGCTGACATTTAAAGGCCTGTCGGAGCATATCAAGTGCAAAAGCCGCATCGAGCGAGCCATTAATCGGCTCGATTCCAGGTCCAAGATGCGAGCCAGTGAGCATACGCTCGTGACGAGAGCTTTTACCAATCGACGCTCGGGGAAGGCCGTGAATGAGAGGGACCACTGAAACCTCGCGTTGAAGACGAAGGTGAGTATGCCTTGCAAATTCCATATATTATGGGGGGTCAGAGGGTTTTGTGGGTCGCATGCAGCAAGTTCAATGTGCTTCAGCACCAACACCGCGAGGTCCGACTCGTTTCCGCCAAGTGCGGCGACGATCTCTTCGAACGCTGCTGGGGAGACACAACGAAGCAGTAATCGGGATAGCATGTCTCCCACGGAGTGCAGGCCAAATACGTTGCGCTGGACGCCCAGGACCCACATTTCCGCCACCATGGTCCAGACACCTACGGTACGGTCGACGAGTTCCGTGGCCTGGGAGTTATACTTGAAATTAGCGATAACGTTGAGGAAAAGGACGCGGTTGGAATCGTGATCGTGGGTGTCGTCTGCGCGAACAGAGGCAATGCAGTGAAAATGTGTGTCGTAGAGGTCGATAAAAGTGATCCAGGCCCACACCCGGGGCCAGAAAAGAGGGTATAGGTCGTCAGGAAGGTGATAGAACGTTTGGAGTACCTGTAGCGCGATAAACGGCCTTAGCAGACTAGAAATGACGGTGGGCGACGGGGATTGCCAGTGGGTGTCGACTTCGTCGGGATGCGGGATCGCCGCCGGGTCCAGATTGGCTTAGAAAATGGGCAGGTAGAGCAACCGCACGTTTTTAGGGGCAAGCTTGAAGGGTTTTTCTAACATTTGGAGACTTTCTGCCGAGCCACGCACTGCGTCTTTGGCGATACGCTGCGAAAAGGGAATGAGCGTCCAAGATAATGTGACGGTCGTCGGTGTGAGTGCGTACCCGGACAGAAAGCGGGAGCTCTGAGAGTCTTTCTAGACTGAGAGCAGGGTGCGGTGGTGGCGTTGCAGAAGGTGGCATTTGATAGGAGCTATGTATCAGGGGTAGCGATCGGCTGTCTTATTCCTGTGCGCGAGACTTACCGTAACGTCTCCGTGGCTTCTCGATATCCAGTTTGGCATTTGCTAAAATCGAAACGATGGGAGTGAGTGTGTTTGAGACGGCGTTTTCAAGAACGACGTAGTACATTGATGGAGTTCAAGGAGGAGGAATCAGAAAGATGGTCGGACTTGTCGGAGGCAATGTGAACGTGGGAACGACAAACAAAGACAATTCGGACTTTTGTTCCGAACGCAGTTCCTTCTCATGATCAACCGCCGCCACGAATAGTCGATTGTCGGACCTGGAGCCAGAATGGGCCCGGGAAACAATTATGGTGTGATGCTGCCCATTATTGAACGCTCCGAGCACTACCCTTGAGCTTAGTATATCCTCGCACAGGCCATCTCGAGATCTCGAACTGGTCGCCTTCGAGTTTTTGGTTAGTTTTTCCTCGCGCATCCTCCCGACAGTCTTTTCCCTCGCTGACTGAGCCTACAAATCCGAAGCTATAATGTTTTCTTTCATCGACGTTCCGGCCGAAAATAATCCTCCGAGTCGACGGTGTTTGGGTTGGTTCGCTCTCAAGGTGTGTGCAATGTCGAAGCTAAGTATTCGCTTGTGTATCATTACTCACCGCAGTTTAACGCATCCACACCCCGTACACCTCGTCCTTGATATGATTGAATTGACGCTCGTAGCTCGTCAGGCCGCTCGCGCAATGCAAACTTTTTCTGAACTCTGAATCCATACATGTGCGCTGCAACCTTTTGCAGAGGTCATCGTTGACTCCTAATTACTTTTGATGATGCAGGCGCAGGTCATTTCAAGCTCGGCATCCAACTCGATTTTTCGTTCTCCACGTTGGCTTCTCAATTGACGCCGCGATGCTCGGTGCATCCGTCTCTGCAGTGAATGAAACGGCATACCCGTATTTCCGGGACGCGATAGCGGACGACCGCACACGCGATTTGTTAGAGAGCCTGTACTAATTGATGTTACGTAGAAGATCTCCGTTCGACTCGGGGTCGGGTCATTACGGACTTTCAAACCTCAGATTTCGAGTCCCTATTGCCAGTCTCGTATTAGTTTTACTCATTCTGCTTAGCAAGGCATCGAATCGGTTGGATTCTAATTTTGCAGGCGAGAGCAGGTATCAACGGCAACAATTTTCTGCGGCCTGGACTCGACAAATCCACCTTTAAATCAGTTCGTCGTTTTTTTGTCGGTTCTCCTACTGTCGACAAAAAAAAACATACAAGCGCCGGGATTTTGGGTTCGGACAGATTGGAGTAGTTTGGAATAGCGAAGACTAGATCGGTGCAGTAATAGCAGTAGCAGCCCCCGAAGAAATTGTGTCAAGTTGATTGATTGAACTCTTCAAAATGTATCGCTAAGCGATGGCTATTGTCTATATTGCCAGGAAACAGAAAAGAAGCCGCCAGTTCCATTATCGGATCCTCCTCGAAGGTCTGGGATTGACATTTTGTTCTCTATAAATTGAGGTAGATTCTCGCCACGACTACCGGGGTTTCTTTTCTAGATTATCGTGCAATGACTCCATACTTCTCTCTAGTGTCCGCTGTTGATTGCGTCACCACGGTAAGAATTAAAGTTATTTTTGAGAAGTCTTGGCAACCGCGCGTTTAACGCGGCGGCGGGGTCTGGCGGGGTGGTAGGTATAATTACACTGCGGGTCCAGCTTTGGAACGCCGGTTTCCAGGAGGGGTGACTAGTTCAAAAATGGGTGGGCGTCGCGTAATTCAACGTTAGTAACTTACCTGTTTGCTTTCTCGAACACGCCACCCGGGGCCGAGTCATTCACCCCAGAAAATCTGGGGTTTCTGGCCTTTCAAAAATACATCTGAAACTAAAAGTTTAAACGCGCTCCGAATACGTTTAATTTAAGGTACCGGGCCAGGCCGACGGATTTTGGGTGGCCTGGAATGAAGGTGTCAGGAGCGCGCCTGAACTGAAAGTTTCAGACATATTATTGGAGGCTCAAAATAAACTTTTTTCCATAGCGTACGAACAATATAGGCTTGTTTGACTATACACGCGCGATGTCATTTCTGCCCCAGAGTTTCGGACGCCGTGGCCACTACGCCACATGGCTGTCAAAACTCAGAACGGATTCAACTTGCTCCTGACTCGAATCTCGGCCAGGTCCCTACCGCGTAGATAGATCCAAGCCAAGCCGAAGAGGCCGAAGACAGATTAGCTCTTCCGCGGGATGTCGTACCACTGTTATCTATTGGTTGCAGAGCTGGTCACTACCAGGCACCCTGCTGGACTCGGCGGATAACGCGCCGAAGTCGAGGATAATTCGAGGTGTCAAAAATGAACACCGGATTGTGCCTCCAATACTGTCCAATGGCAGGCTGAGAAGAAACAAGAAAAGGCATGGGAAATCGCGCCTCGGATCTGATCGCATCACCGCATCGCCTGACGTAACCCACCTCAAACCGAAACCACGATGGTCTCATCGTTTTCCTTCA